TCCTGAAGTAAAGCAAAATGCTTCTTTTCATTCTTAAACGTACTATTTGAGACAATAACATGTTACAAAAATATTTGATTAATTTATCAAGTCACGACCCCAATTCATGAAATAATTGCGGAGGAGGGGGGGGGGTTAATTGTTGCTGAAGATTTTACGGTGCAGATTTAAAAGAACCAGAAAACCTTGATAATTGCTGAATTTAGGTGCAGTGGCAATGTTACTAAATGGAAAGAAAGAAAGAAAGTGATGAATGGCATGAATGGCAATTAGACACTTTTTCTTAGAGCACTTTTCCTGCAATAAATTAAAGCGGAAGATAATTTAAAAACCTGGTGAACAGGGGAAATGACCTAAATTTAATATAAACTTTGTGTTATGTAAATGCAGGCACATTAGTCTAGACTAGACCCACATTTTTTCCTTTATCTTTAATGAAACGAAATATACTGTTGGAAAAAAACCCAGATAATTATCCAACTGTTAAACAACTCATTTAAAAAGATTGACTTGTTTTTACATACTGAGTTTTAAGATTGTGTTCAAAGAAACATAAAATATAGAGTATATGAGGGGGTTTATGTGAAACACAACTTGGAAATATACATATTCAATTTTTATTTTATTCAACTTGAACAAAAATGTATGAAAAACCCATGGCATTATTTAAAGTACAACATTATTCAAGTAAAGTCACGTAGGTATTATTCAAGTATTCAAGTTCAGCAAGAAATGTCTGAAAATGAAAGCGGCAACAGAATTAAAATTTGACCATCTCCTCTCACATCCATTATTCACTTCTCCTGACAAAAATTATGTGTACAATGCAAAATGTGTATATTACAAAAGCCCTCAGTGGGCAAATGAGGCACCACTTACATCGAGGGTTCAGAATTGCCGATTCTCATGTAAATCTCAAATACAATAGTTTAACACCTCGTAGATTTTCACCACCAATATTATCCATAATAATGTTTTTTGGTTTAGATCCCGTAATTATAAATGAGTCGTTAAACCCGCCTCCACCCGACACAGCAAATCAGTAAGGTTTGTCACGTAAACAAAACGTGCCAATTCGTTACTTGTACAGCACACCGGTGTGTTAAAGACTAAACCCACAACATTTACAATTCGAGTACGACGTTTCGCCGATAATTGAAACTCGCATCATCAGGCGGCAGCCAGAGATGTGGCGAAATCCTCCTGTTTCGGTCTTCAATAGAGGGATAAATGTGATGTCGTCACTTGTAAGCCAATCAGGTGCGAATACCAGGGGGGAGGGTGTGAGGGTTAATGTATGCACACAAATTACAATGGATACCCATTACCGGTTGGGTTATTCATAGGATAATCAACATATACAATATACACTTCTCTGCAAAAAGGTTTTCCCACAAGCAGGGAAAACCAACTACGGCTGGATAAACACGATGGCCCTTGTAGGGAAGTGATAACGTTTAATGGATTATGCTAATTATTTGCACAAGCTCCTTGGTTTTACGTTTAACATGTGTGTGATCAATGTAACTGTCCTAAATATCACCCCTAGGGACTATTTAGTAGATTCTAGACTGGAGATGGGATGGTGCTGTTGTATGCCTAATGGTTAGGGCACTGAACTTACGGTATAGAGGTCGCCGGTACTATTTCCGTCGACTGCCCCTGCCTTTGTCCACCCAGCAGTACAATTGGAACCACCGTAGCTAGTCGATCGGCAGGTCACGGTGTGGTGCGTTCAAGTGTGCGTACTCCCAACTCTTCCAAGATGCCTGAACAGTGTGGGAAGAGTAGGTCTCCTGAGAGCCTCCCTCCAGTGGAGGCCCTTTTGGCAGCAGCGGTTGTGTGAGAAAGCAATTGGAGGGCTACGTCTCTCTCTCTCGCTTACACTGGAGTGGTATGACATGTTTAGGGGCCGTCCATAAATGACGTCACGCGACTTTGGATGATTTTTGACCCCCCCCCCCCCCCCCCATCATCGCACGGCGTCACAAAAAGTCAGACCCCTCCCTCAAATATGACGTCACAAAGCTCTGCACCCCCCCCCCCCCTAAAAATATAAAACATGCTTCAAATCGCTTTAAACTATTGTCATTGTAGTGCGTATTTAATGTGCCGCTGCACTCTGATGTTGTAGGAGAAAACATTTATCAAAAAGTCTATTTAATTAAGTAGAACGTGTTGTCTATATTTATTTAAAGTTGCGCATTTTGATGTGACGTCACATTTCTCACCCCCCCCCCCCCCTCGTCACACATCGTCACAAATGTCTGAACCCCCCCCCCTAGGTGCGTGACGTCATTTATGGACGGCCCCTTAAACTATTTCCCGGTGCCTTCCAGTGAGGGCAAAGTCCTTTATGTGAATTGTTGAATAGTTAAAATGTACCTGGTGGAACTACAGAGAGCAGGTTGTAGTAAAACCAATTCAACAACCTCTACTGTGTAAACATCCATATATGCGAAAGAACAATATCTAATTGTAATAAGAAAAAATATCTGGATGAATTAAATCCTGAAATAAATTTAGCTTTGTAAATTATGAAGTTAAATCCTGCAATAATGCATGCTGATGCATATAGTCCATAGGCCAAAGTAGAACTTGGTAGCACTAGACGTGGAAAATATATAGTGTGACCAGTTTCTGTGTGTGACTAATGAAGCGCATGATGTGATGACACACTTATGAAATAAGGATGTTGCGCAATTAAAATTATATTGGCCATTTAAAGATCTTTGCAGAACTCACGTTTTGCAATGTCACCTGGTACTAACAAGTAAAATACAGAAGACTATCGATTGTCTGCGCCAATGACGGGGATGGCCGCAAAAATTGAAAATCGCGGATAATCCAAAAATAGAAATTTCGCGTGGATCTCTATGCAAAAAAAAACAACGATCGATGTGCCTGCTCAGTGATAACACTTAGTGGATGACAGCAGAACCACGCCAATCAAAATCAATCAAACTCCGCCCACTGTTGTAAAGATATGCTACTACTGTACTGAAGAGGCGATCACGTGCATTTAGGATCAAATGGAGCACAAATTTGTTCGGTTTAAGCACGTGACTTGTAATAAACATTTCCCAGAATAACAATGCACAACTGTTTTTAGATGATTAATTTTGGCTGAAGGGAAAAATCCATGAGTCATTAATCAATGTTAAAATCTAAGGCGTGCAATTAATCCGCAAATCAAATAAACCGCACGCCGATAATCAAGAGTCTGCTGTATTTGGTCTTGTAACCATGGGCTTATGACGCTCTCGACAAGTTACACACGACACCCCAGTGTTGAGCTTTTTACTGGTCTCAACTATTGTTCAGAACTTGGAATAGCACACACCTCTGCTGGAGAGTGGGAATACTGCACAGGGCTTGCAGCTGTCGGTAGTTAATGATGGCTGGTGACCTCCTCTTGTCTGAAAGTTACAGTTAAATGTAATGTGTTGATATGACATGCTTTTGTTCTTGGTATGCTTTAAATAAATTACGTAATAAGCGGTTTACATTATTGCCTGAAATTCAGTTCGCTGTTGCAATATCACGAATACACGTGGTGGTTTTTTTTCCCCTTGTACTCTACTCGAAAGCAATGACAAGTTTGTTGAAAGAAGACTGACAGAAATAATAGGGTTGTTTTCCCCTTTTTTTCTGGCAACAAAACTGAAACCTATTCTACAAGGATTCATGTCGCTGCATTAACCACAATACCTGCCTTTGGCGTCATCTGGTCGAGCACCAATTGGGTCGAGGCTCAAAAGAAAGCCGTCCCTTGGTGTGGACCAATCAGTTTCAAGGACAATGCATCACATATTATCATAGTATGTTTTTTGTTTGCATTTTGACTGCAGGTATTGTGGTTAATGCAGCGACATGAATCCTTGTAAAATAGGTTTCAGTTTTGTTGTCAGAAAAAAGGGGGAAAAACCCCCTATTATTACATATTGGTACTGGCAAAGGAGGTCTAATGATGAAGGACAAGATTGACAGTGATGTAAACTTTGAATGTTACTGTCCTTAAATTATTACCATTGTCAACGTATGATGAGGTCGTCGATTGCAGCCAATTATGATATATATTTTTTGTAGTAAAGAAGTTCAACGTACATACATACGTAACTTAACATGCCTCGAGACACCCTGGGACAGACGACCCTCGGTGGCAACTGCCCCTGTGAAGCTCAAAGTGAACGCAGCGCCAGCACGGCAAGTGGAAACTTGACTCCGGTCTGAGATAATCCTGCATTCGATTACAAGTCCAGTGTTTTAGCCTTCATGCCACTGCGACTCGATGTTACTGTGTGTTGAACTTCGTTCGCGCCGTACGTAGCCAACCGTGCTGATCGGAGGTGCGGGGAGAAGAACATCAAACTGAACACACGCAAAGCAATGATATGCACGGGTAGTAGATGAAACAAAAAATCCACAAATTGAAGCGAGAAAATAAAGGCATTCTGTGAGCGATGACAATTTGAACTTGAGATAATCGAGAGTGGAGCAATTGAGGCACTATGGAATGAATGGATGGGGTGGTTGCAGTGCCAGATTATCCCAGTAACACAAGTAGCTACTGCTACATATGTAGTAGTAGTTACTACTACACATGTAGTAGCTACGGGCCCCGCACTTTCAAGGACCCCGCGCTAAATGCTTTCAAGCTATCAATTCCGGTTCGGTGTTTCTGCACTTGCTTTATTACTATAGTACTATACCGTCTTCAACTTTTATGAACGACTCGGTGTTTAAGGTTTGCGATTTGTCTTATTATCTGGCTGTATAGAAAATGAAAAAAATACAATTACTTTACTATGCAAGTAAACAAATTTGTGTTATTATATTTGTTTTTTTTTATTTGGGGCCCCCTTTTAAACATATGCTGCAGGCCCCGCACTAGCTAAATCCGGCACTGGGTAGTTGCACATCATCACCTGCTGTGCGGTTCTGGGTATTGAATTCCTCTGTCGAGGTCAGGCGCCCTTGGCCCTTGAGGACCCACTCACCCGACACCGTCATGTCCATGTCACCCGGCTTCCGAAGACAGCGCGCAACTTCAAACACAATCCCGTGCGCGCTATAAACTATAGGGCGATCGAATCCGGGCCGCACGTAAGTTAAAACTGTATGGGACGATACGTGATTTTTTTAAAAAATTTCTCTGTCGGCTGGCTCGTCTCCATAACAACGGCACACACACAAAGCACGGTGACGTGCCGCGGCTAAGTTTGTTAATAATTCATCATGCCGGGCTTACATAGGCAGCCAAAGGGCCCTGCCACAACTAAATTCATAAATAATATGAATAACAGTAATGAAATTGTAACGTGGGCAGGATGTGAACACTTTTCGGCGTTGTACGTTCCGGACGTAAGAAGTTGATGCTTGGTTTTACGGCAAATATAAATTGTAAAGTAATGCGTGAGTGCCACCTGCTGCTGACTTGGACTAGAGTTGTTGAGAACGCAAGCCTACTAGAAATCTGTGAATAAGAGCTCCACAAGCTCACCGGATTCCCCCCGTAAATACATATTCTGATTCATTTTGTGTTTTGCTTACATTTATATTTTAATCGTCGTTTTTTTTTTAATCTGTTTCTGGGTTACATGTAATGTTGCACAATGCGGTATAACAACATTTTAATTTACAAGGAACCGTGTTAAACATTTAGCTGTTTATATTAGCATCAATAACATGTTAAGGGATTTTTGTTTTAAAAGTCGTATTTGCCATATTGTGATTCTTTTGCCCTTTAGCTCGATGTTTTGTTTACTTATTCAATACATTCATACGAAGGAAAACGTATACAGTTCCATGAATTGAATGTGTCGCTGGCAGGAACATAAACAGAGAGGCCACGGCATATTCATTTCATGCACAGGGTCAGCGCGTTTGGCAATTTTAGTGAACAAATGAAAGAGTAAAAATTTAATGCAAACACATTTTAAGGTCAGGGACCGATTGTACTGCCCAAATTTGGGCCATCGCTTTATCATTCCGAGGAAAACATACGGCTGCTTCCACACTCATGTAAACTACAACGTTGTAGTATTGGATGTAATTATCGGCAAAGTCTAAATAGATAACCACAAATTGCCTTGCTTGCTGTGCAGTCGCCAGAACATTGTTTTCGATGTATTAAATATGAACGGATAGTCTTCGTTTCGATTGAGTTTGGCAATACCTAAACGCGAGGCAGACATTCCAGACTCTGATGACATTTTTTTTTATGATTTAGCCGAATTAAAGCGAAATCTATTTCAATATCAAATATGAAAGCAAAATCAGGTGAACGGGTTACTTATTAACTCAGTGGGTTTCAGATATTCAGCAAGCCTCCCTGTTAAAAGGGGTGAAATGAGGTAAGGAAATGTCCAAACACAGATGTCCTTTGGAATGTTTTTACTTTTGTCAAATGTGGGCCATTTTATGGTCCAGAATATGGCTTGCCTGTAATAATGGCACCATTCACCTTTGGTGTGAAGCCACACAGCCTGGCATTGTACAATGGAAATCACCCAGCGCTGAAAATCATTGTGCTTCGTGAGAACGGAAGGTAGATTAATAGTGATTTGAGCGGCCACAAAACACAAGGCCGTGGGTTGAAATCCCATTTTGGAGGAGACAGGGCGATGAAACAGCACACACAAGGGTGACCCAGTCTTTACTAAACCAGGGTCAGAATGTGTGAAAGTAAAAGGTGACAAACAGCCACCTGCGGTTGTGTCAGAAGTGAAGGCATACAGACTGACACGTCCCACCAATCTGAGCTTTCTACAGTATATTACAAAAATGTTACAATTCGCTTCTTTCATGGCAAACGTTCTCTTCGATTTAAATTCATCAAAGCAAAAACGGTTCACCCTGGGAAATTATAATGAAATGAACGTGTTCGCTAAAATTGATTCGTGGACTTGTTTCATATTTAGCACATTACTAAATTGCTATTTTGCTTCAGCTTAAAATAAAAAATCAATAACTCACTTCCCATCATTTTGAAACTAACCGTGACAAAATGGACATATTTTCATAATGGATTAATTAAAATACAATGAAAATTCCTAATTTGCATGATTGGTTTTATTAAAAATGTAATATAAATCGTTTTTCTTCAATGATTTCCCTTCACATTCACTTAAATAGTCCATTGCGATTATATTTTTAAATCCAAATATAAACTCTATTATGTAACTAATTTACTGGACATAGATTAGTTAACTCTACAATTATTTAGATTCAGTCACGAACATTTGAACTCTACATTTTACTCTACAACAATAAGGTTATATTGTTTTTTAACCTGCAACGCAAACGCCATGGTGGCGAGATATTAACTACCTCGCCTGGTATACATGTGGTTGTGAGTTCGATCTCGACCCTGACGCCTGCTGTATATTTGGAGTTTGCATGTCTCTCTCCCCATGGTCGTGTGGATTTTTCTCCGGGTTCTCCGGGTTTTCCCTCCACATTTAGAAACATGCATTTCGAGTTTTTAGCTGCTATACATGTCCACACGATAAGCCACTTCGTTGAGCAATCATTTGTGGCCAGGTGGCTTCTAAAAACAGCTATAAAGCTCGGTGGGCCTTACCTGGTAAAATAAATTGTTTCGTTTTAGTTTCAAACACAACAAAGGGTGAACAAATTCGCGCGTGAGGAACATGTGGACGGAGGCCGCGTCCTCTGGATGATTCCACCCCTCATAACAATGTTTATTAATATGATCATAGTGGTTGTCAGTTATATTTGAAGTTAGCTTAAATCATGGTTCACGCACGATACATTGAGGCAAATAAAACATTTTTAAAGGTAACGCTGCAGAAAAGGTACATTTTCCAATGTTTGCAGATAAATTGACATTCACTAAAACATTATTCACAGCTCTCAATGAAACTGCAGATGAAGGCCTCCACACACCTGTTTGTGGAGTGTGTTTGGCCATGCTTCACCATTAGTGAAGCAGCAGGTGGCACAGGACCTGTGTAGATATCACTCACCACTGATGGTAGCTGTGCCCGGAAATCAATCTCAGATCAGTGCACGGGTTTGTTTTATGTTTCGTGAACTTCTTTCGCACCGTACATAGCCAACCGTGCTAATCGGAAGTTTCGAAAGCAGTGCGCTAAGCATTAGGGGCCGTCCATAAATGACGTCACGCGATTTTGGACGATTTTGGACCCCCCCCCCCCCCCCTTCGTCACACGACGTCACAAATAGTCAGACCCCCCTCTCAAATATGACGTCACAAAGCTTTGCCCCCCCCATCCCCCCCAAAATATAAAAATGTCATTGTAGTTCGTATTTATATGGCGCTGCACTCTGATGTTGTAGGAGAAAACATTTATTAAAAAGTCTATTGAATTAAGTAGAACGTGTTGTTTATATTTATTTAAAGTTGCGCATATTGATGTGACGTCACATTTCCCACCACCCCCCCCCCCTCGTCGAACATCGTCATAAATGTCTGACCCCCCCCCCCACCCCCCCACAGGTGCGTGATGTCATTTATGGACGGCCCCTTAAGTCACCACTCCACGCCTTATTTTAGAGGCATTAAAATGTAACGTAGGTATGTTTATTCAAATATGTATGTGTAAATTACACAACCTAATAATAAGCTTAATTCCTGTTTGTAATTGATACACTCCATGGTTCAGCCAGTTCTACAGGAGTGCCAAAGTTTGCATTGAACTGAGGCTAAATGTCTCTAGGTTAATACAAACGAAACACTCAAAATGGCATAACTTCAAGACCTTTCTGAACACTTTTGAATAGTATTTTAAAGTTACAAATCATACATGCTGGGATTTTGCGATTAAGCAGAGCTAACGTAAACAAGGTCTCAATAAGCTTCTGTTGTGCTTCCATTTGTGGAGAGGAATAATGATTACTGAACAATTAGGCTGATTGCTGTGAAAGAGGATTTGTGGTCTATCGAGAACAGTCTAGGACGGGGTGGTTGAGCTCTTTCCAAAGTGGCTCTGATCCACTGCAAAGGGATCACAGCTAGAGACAAACACAGCTATCTCTAAAAAAACAGGAGACCTGTGTCCAGAAGTCGACATCAGACAGAAGGAGTCGAACTACAATACCAATCTGTGGCCTTCCAGAATTGTTACAGCAACCTCGTGGACAGAGATAGCTTAACCTTCACATTTCAAGAAACGAACACTCCAGTAAGCTTCGCGAGGCATGTCCATGAAGCCTCCTTTGTTAAAAACATCGCTGTGTTAAATTTAAAGGGCAAAAGAATGGTACTCTTATTTCTACGTCTATGGACATGCCGTTATGGATTCCAAACGCTGAAAGGGAATATGTTACAATGGATACGATGTATAAAGAGCTGTGAATAAAGCAAACAAGAACACCGAGATAGTGTTACATCTGCAGCTTTGTCTGCAAAACAGATGCTCGTAGATGAGCTTGATGGTCATGAAGTCGGCATGCTCCACTCGTTGACCCGTGTCTGTTGGCGTTGACGTGCAGACGGGATGTTTCGCCTCCTCCGGAGAAGCCTTTGCAAGGTTGCGCCAATCCTCACACCAGATGGGGACACCTCGCTCAGCGAGGCCAACGGCAAGGATCAAAGCGTAAGTTCCAGACTGAGTATCTGGCTTTCAATGGCACGATAGCAAAACACACACACATAGAACTTGTATGAATAATAATATATAAATTATCAAATTTCAGATTAACGTGCCTAAGCTGTATTTCCAACATAAGCGATGATGTATACTAAACATACTAATACTTTAACAAAGATGTTTATAAAGATCTTTAAATTAATGGGAATGTAAATAGAGGTATATTGCAAGAGCCACCAGGCGTTGGTGTTGAGGGCAATGGTTGCATTTGCTGTTCAATATATGTACGCGTGACATTGAGATGCGTAGAGTTCCGATTTGTTTTGCTGCAAGCTGGAGTGCAATTAAACACCTTCATGTTCTCCATCTATTTATCTGGCTGGTCATAGCACCATCAGCTTGTGAAACGCCATAACGTGGCTCAACAGTTTCCCACTAGGTTATATGTACCTGCGTCATAACAGACAAGTGCCAGTTTTTTTTTAATTCAGGTTTATTTTGCTTTAACCTGGGGATAACTCAAGGGAGCATGATATTCTCATTTGCTCGGGTGACCTGGGACATTAGTCTGCCAGTAGTAGGTGATGATTGCTGTGCACAGTCCCAATTTAGTAAGTTGGCTGGTACATTCTTAATTTGGTACATTTGGACCCTTAAGCATATGCTGCTTATTATTATGGTGGTTATTACACCTGTGGTAATAATAATCAGGCGACCACTTGAACAAGTAGTGAATGTGCTTCTACGAGGCCAGAGGGGTTCAGCAACAATAAAAAAGAGCCATTTTTTTTTCGAATTCGGTCAAATAAAAACTCAATATTTCAAGAGCCGCAGCGCCTTAGAGAACCGCGTGCAATTCCGGCGCCGCAGGTTGCCGAGCCCCTGTACTCGGCCACGTGACCGCCCACTGCTGCAGGTAGTCAGCACACCTGCAGCAGGATCCCGGAGAGAGCTTAGTCCAGCGAATGGCCACGGCTAAACATAAGTGGCGAGTGACACTGTGGGTGAACAAGACGCAGGATCCAATACACAGTCACCGATCCGCACTGAGCAGTGTGGTGAATACGCTCAAACAACCCCCATGACTGACGCAGCATGGGGGGGGGGGGGGAGGCCTTCATCCAGTAGTGGGTTGATAAAGGGCTGCGATTGTGTTTTATTAGCTTTTAATCATGGACTTTGTATTGCTTCTGCACACTTTGCATATAGAGTACTGCAGCCCTTTTGCTCGTCACGTTTTTGCTTGAGCGTGATGCCGCTGTGTCAAATTGTTTTATTTGACACTGTCAATTGCTCTTCAAATGGTTGCAACGAAACAAAAAACACGTTTTTATTTGTTTATTGCACATCATATGCTTTCATTGTAAGCTCAATGTTTGTTTGAATATATATCCAACTGATCGCTGTGTTGTATGCTTCTCATTAATGCGTATGGAAAAAAGTCACCGAACTCAAATGCAAATCTTACGCCCGAATCAAAGTGTAAGTGTTTTTATCCCTTCTCTCGTTTTGATTTTGCTTCAAAAGTCCTCTGCACACAGAACACCTCTTTAAGACAAATCCCCCCACCCCCATTCCATTCAAAGTAGGGGATATTGCTGCACTGTTCAGTATTTATTCATCAGTTTGAAAGAGGATACACAGACCTCTGTAGCTTCAAAGCCTTATTTGTGAAGCTCAAGCGTTCGCTCGAAGCGGTGCGGGACACTTTAATTCAAGTCAAACAACATTATTGGCTCATTTTATTCCCACAAAAATGTGCCCATAACATGCTACCTAGCCCCGTTACAAATGAAGTTACATTCCAGATCCCACAATTGACAATTTTAAAGTGCTGTCTTGAAAGTGATCCAACTTGCACTAGAGTATTCCAAAACGAGCTTACTCTGGCTTATCACTTGTGAGCAGCTTGCTCACAGCGATTTCCTTAATTTTCCTTCATGGAAGCTTCTTCAAGAGCTGAAATATTAAAGCTTGGTTCCTGAAGAAGATGCCTGCATGTAGAGACAAACGTGCCGGGAACTTCTTCAGTTCAATTCCTGATGAAAGCTCCCAAGATGTGAAGCAAAACGTCAGACATCATGCCTAATAAACCCAAATCACACCAGAGAGCTATCTACAGCACACCCACGAAAAAAACTATGCAGTTATTGTGTCTATACCGGTGTCGATTCCCATACATGCCCTCTGTGTGTACTTGAATCGTTTGTTGAATAAAATACTTTTTGCAAAAAGAAAAAAAAAACATGCAATCATAGAGGCATAACCGAAGTTGTGTTCTACATTTATTTTAGGCCAGCCCAGTGATGCTCAGGCCCAGTCAAAGCCATCGACTGATGGCCCAGTTCCCAGGGCTGTGGAGGCCCCTGACCCTCCTGAGCCGCTGCCTTCCAGTGCAGCCACGCCAGGAGATGCTCGACAGCAGACCGACGATGCAAGGTATTGAGCAACAAGTGTTGACTCATCGCTCACCTCCAGTCGCTTCTCACCACGGCATTGCCTGCACTCTCAAAAAAAGAGATTGGTCACAAAATCCTAGAGATGTTCAGCACCAAGACAATGCAGTACTTCGCACATCCAACCCTCACATGTCTGCCCTGAACAGTTCATAGTTTAGTTTCACAGTTTCATAGTTTTTCATAGTTTCATGAACAAGATATCATCTTAAGGTGATTATGTGACTGTGCAAACCACCCCGATCGTGTGCAGCGTCGATGTAACTGTAATTTTCTATTGATGTTCACAAAAACAACCTTTTCACATACGTACAATTATTATTATTTTCAAATGCATGTGCTTCGTTGTCAAGCAAAGCGTTGTCCCATGTTTGAAGCAGTTTATGTTTCATTTTTGTCGAGTACCTTATTTGTGCATGGTGTAAATTGCCATTTTCTATGGATGTTCAATTGCTGTCACGAACATTAGTTTCTGAGAAACATTTCTGCCATAAAAATGTATGCACTGCCATAACACATATTGCACTCCAAAAGATATACGTAGATAATATAGTAGCTCTCATAATCCGCTCATGTAAACAAGTTGTGAGTGTTATTTTTCGTAAGGTTAGCCTCGCGTCACACATATTCTCTCCAGCTAATATGATCCAATGCCAAACTATTTGTGACGTGAGTCACGTGCCCCTACGTGGTGACCACATCATGCCTGAGAATAGCGGCCAAACAAACCCTGAGGTGAACAACAAGAGTGCATGCGTAGAGTGGTGTGGCGCTGGGCATAAGCAACTTAAGCAGACACTTATGGCCCCTGAATAGTTCAAGGTGCTCTGGATTCGTGAGACAATTGGGATGAATCTAATATCAGTTCAAATTCAAATCCTAGCATGCAAGAACAAAGCGAATTCATCTCTCTCATATCTATCTTGTTGGCATATCTCTTTTCTCACCTAACTCCTTTGTTGTCTCTTGTCGAAATCTCTAATTTCACTGCATCTCTCTCATTATCTGTATATTCTCTCATCTTACTGCAATTCTACAGGTTGTCATCTCACGAGGATATTTAAAAAAAAAATTCGCTCAGCCTCCAATGGGCCAGCACACCTGCACGTGTGTGTGTGCGTGTGTCACCGTGTGTGTGCACGTGTGGGGAGCGGTAGTGTATGAACCTGGCAACCCGGGTTCGATTCCCGCTCGCGGCCAACACCAGCGACGATTATCTGAACAGGTTCTGGGCCTCTCCTAGGTCGACTCAGCCTCAAATGAGTACCCGGTGCTGTGCCGGCTTTCATAGATGTGCGCTTACAGCCTGTTAAAGGCTATAAAGGGGATCTTTGTCTTTTTTGTTCCTAAAGGAATGACAAGGAGGTTGCTGATAAGAGGTTGGCAAATTCCTCAACTTTGAAACTCAACCCAGAGACGGAGATGCACATCCGAGATCTGGTGGAGCGTTTTCGAGTCCGCACGGAGAACATGAAGGACTACATCATGGACCCAGATGCCTCGTCGCCAGAGCCCAGCCCTGAACCGTGTTCGTAGAGATGCCATTCACCATCAGCAGCCATGGTCAATCCACTGCTGGATGAAGGCCTCCCCAAGCCATTGCCATCGCTCACGAGATGCAATTGCACCTCGTGCCCTTGTGAAAAACAAAACGATTTCAAATGTTTAATTTTCATACTGCATGCATTGTGAGGAGTGCTGGTGGTGCGGTGGTTAGCACACTGCACTATGAACCCGCTGGCCTGAGTTTTATTCCTGGCCATGAATAACAGCAGTGGCGAGGGATATCTGAACCTGGTCTTGGGCCTCTGCTTTGCCAACTAGAAAATGACCAACGTAACGAACGTCAAAGAAACCGCCATGACTGACATTGTGTGGGGAGGCTATCATCCGGAAGTGTATTTACAAATGTTTTACATCATTATTGCTGCATGCATTCTTATTGTAATATAATTTATAAGTATTTTGTTTATATATACTAAAGTGTATGTATATATGTTACTTTCGCACCGTACGTAGCCAGCCGTGCTAATCGGAGGTGTGTGGGCAACATCATAAAGCTTACTTGTTAGTGTCTTCTTTAATAATTGTTGAAGGATTCTTTGATTCTCATTTTATAAACAAGCCAGCAGACATTCCTTCTGGTGATAATTTGTTTTCAAACAGTTATTAGAACGTAACATGTGTTTCCCTTCAAGCAGAAAAAAAATAGGATGTGATTTGCATTTTGTGACATTTTATCCTTCAAGATCTGACCATAAATTTCCATTGATGTTGCAAAATATTTCTATGTATGGTGATTACAGTGACGGTAATTGACATAATGACCTTTGGGAGCTGTTACCTATGGGAGCTGCATAGATCAGTGAAAAGTAGAACTCAAACATGAAAACCCAAAGGATAGACGGAATTGGCACTTTATTTCACGTCCAGATCTGCCTGCTGTCATTTGGAGCAGGGTTTGGGGGTTGGATGACTCTGGAAGTTATTTCATGAGAAATTAAGCCCTGGCAAAAAAATAATAATAAGTCAGCCTCAGATGAAGTTTGTGTCTTATCCATCTTCTCCGCCCTCTAACCCTGCAGCACCTACAAAGAAGCATCCAGGTAAAGCACCATCACCTTCACCAGTGAAGGGAGAGGAGGAGAAGGAGGAAACAGCTCCGCAAGCCGCCGTGGAGGCTGCCACTGAACAGCACGAATGTCAAATGCTTTGCTGTCGGTTCAAGCGGAGGCCCTGGATGGATAAGATCAAGAAAATGAAGCTGCCAGAGACCATTGATCCATGCGCAGGTAACGGCGCATTGCTCATGCACGATGGTGATCTGGCATATTCTGGGTGAGGACGGTGACAAGGTGTGGGACTGTTCACCTCAGGAGTAAGTAAGGTCGCCAGTGGGAAGAGACTGACAATATTGTAATAAACCATCATAGACCCTGCTCGCCCTATGTCATGCCAAATGAAGGGCTTCGAGGCAGAATGGATGTGACAGAGACAGACACAGGATTGGCAGACCCAATTGTGTTATGTTGATTGTAAAGGCTTAGCCCCCCCCCCCCCCTTTATATTGTCCCCATCTCCTAATAATTAACCTGGCATTTCCCAAAAGCGAGACTGTCTCCTATTAGGGGTCATGTCTGCTGTAGAGTGTTAAAACTGTATCTCTTTAATGCTTATGATGACTCAGCCACCTTCCTCAATATGTACAGTAGGTATAAGGTGGAGAGTGGTGGTGCAGTGGTAAGCATATCGCTCCTTGAACCTAGCCTCCTGAATTCGATTCCCGGTCACAGCCAACATAAGTCGCGAATGATATCTGAACCCTTTCACCGACAAGCACAGACTAACGTTGTGGAGTATATAGCACAGATGAATCATTCGCATCGTTGTGGAGACTAAAGGTAACAAACTAAATTGTAACAAAAAACACAACGGTAAGAGGAAGCATATTGTCTCCTTATTGTGGCAAAGTATGATCAAAACAAACCACCCCACCCACCCACGACTTTCAAGCTGCGGGGAGGCTTACAGCCCACCCGGTGGACTGACTAAATCGCAATTCGCATCGTGTACGGTGTGCCTCATGTAATACTTTCCTTCTGTACTGCAGACAGGATATACTTGATATGGCTGACCCTGGTGATGCTGGCATTCCAATGGAGCTGCTGGTTCCTGCCGCTCAGGCTTTCCTTTCCCGTGCACACGCCCAATACCATGTCATTCTGGTACATCGGCGACTATACGTGCGACGCCATCTACCTGTTAGACATCCTGGTCATGCAGTGTCGGCTCCAGTTCGTCCACCGCGGGGACATTATCGTGAGTGCACTGGCACACGACAAATAGAAATGTGGAAGAAAAAACACACAAATAATTTTAAATGGCAGGTGGGCCAAGTTGGCTCAGGGATTACAGCAGTGAGATGACACGACTCAGATCCTGGTTTTCAAATGTGGATAACCCAACCAATGCTTAAATTGGGATGTAAAGTCTATTTTTTTAATTAAAAAATATTGAACAACATTTTTGTTAAATTTGTTTGGCAATCGTTTTTTGCAGCAATAACTTTGTCATCTAAAATAAGAATAACTTATTTATTCATAAGAGGTTTTTTGGTTAGATTGCGAAAATGTAAACTCGCCACCACCCGACAGAGCTAATTAGTAAGGTTTGTCACGTAAACAAAACATGCCAATTCGTTACTCGTACAGCACACTGGTGTGTTGGAGAGTAAACCCACGACATTTACCACTTTACTTTTACTCTCCAACACATCGTTGTGCTGTGCGAGTAACGAATTGGGATGTTTCCAATATTATTATGGATAATATTGGTCGCGATAGCCTACGTGTTAAACTAACTTATGTATTTACTTTTACAGACAGACCAGAAAGAGACATCAAAGTTCTATTACCATTCAGAAAAATTCAAGGTACCGTAAGTCGAAGTGTCCTACAGCACACAGCACGAACACCCAGGCTTAGCCGCTCTGAACAATACACATTACGGCTGACTGCATCAGGAAAAAACAAACTCTCGTCAGAGTCCACAATTTGCTTGTTAAAAAGGTGCAATTTTTGTAACAGGTCTAATCATCTTCATCGTTGTATCTGAGCCCTGCTCAGGCAGCCTATAATTTACTCAGATATTCTGCAATCAAGCACTATTCCCACAACATCAAAGCAGACAGACCCTTCTATCATCTGCCTGAAAATCGCATCGTGTACAGGTGACTTGCAAAATGTGGCCTTAAACAATCTGCAGAGTGTGCAGTCCTGCCCTGTGTCACATGAAACATGTCTGCCGTGCAGTCAGACCTGCTCTCTCTGCTGCCTCTGGACATTTTGTACCTCAAGTTTGGGCCTTCTGCCATGTTCCGTCTGCCTCGCCTCATCAAGGTGAGTGTTTTCATGGCCGAGTGGTCGAGCGTTTGCCACTTGTTGCAGACGTTCACAGTCCGGTCCCACAGCGGCCCTAGTTAATGCTGCTGCACACGTGTTAACCATGAGCACTCACCGTCTGCTTCACGGTGGCGTTATTTTCAAACAGTGGATCATGTGTGCCTGGATCATGGTCTAAATTTTCCAAATGTAAAACAAATACCTGCAAATTACAATGTATAATCTGGAACATAGCAATCGACACTCCCTACTCGAGGAAACCAATCAGAAAATGTGATTTACTATTGTGAACCTGTATACATGGTGGTTGCCCGTAAATTTTGATAGAATTTTGGCAAATATATTTTTTTATTGGCAGTGACGATGTCGTAGTTGCTCTTATTTGCCCAATGGACCAATAGGATCAACACAGTCAATTTAAAAGGAGCACTGAGACAAGAAAACCATAGGATGGCAATAATATGATTCGGACAGCCTCAGAGAATGTGGGGCCCATCTCGACCGGGCAGCGAACACGGCAGGGGAGCAGACGGTGCTTCGCCCGTCCGCTCCAGCGTAGTGCGCTCGAGGAGCTGTGCACGGCTGACGATTGGTCATCGCCGCTCTATTTTTGGGCCGATGGACACGAAATGATGATAACCACGCTGGTAAATAGGGGGTTGGTGACGTGAGAGGGGTAATGGTCGAACATCGGTTGAGATAGCCCTCGTCACTGATGTCACCGGTGGCTTCGTAGCGCCGTGCTCTAACCACTGCACTATGACACCACCTTCCTTTACCATTCATTTATTTTTCTTTCTTCAATTCAATCGATGTCCCGTTGGGAGAAAGAAAAAAAAACATGGTCTGTATCATACAGTACAGGAATCGTATCGGTCTCTATACTTGTAATTCATTTGCAATGAACTAATTAATCGATTTGCAATATAAGAGCCTGTTTTATATTTTATTGTGCAGTACTATGCATTCTTTGAGTTCAACGATCGATTGGAAGCCATTATGAGCAAGGCATACATTTACAGGTAAACATTCTGCAACACATTCACTTTTTTACACTCGATATTTAAACTTTACCTATGTATTTTCATTTTTAAAATGGGACGCTGCCATGATGTAATAGTTAAAACACTGAACGTGCTATCCTGAGTTTACCGGTTAAGTCCCCCAACCCAGCAGTTGAACAATGGGGGGCAGGTTTATTAACTCCCCTTGCCTCTGTCCACTCCGTGGTATAAATAGCTACACCACAGCAAGCCAAACAGCAGATTGCATGCGGTGAAGTAGAATGTGTGGGAATTCCCACCTCTTCCAAGACGTTTGCCCAGTGTTGGAAGAGTAGGCCAAAACACATTTTAGAGGGGCTTTCTGGAGCTCCCTTCTGCCAGCTGTAGCGTCAGCAAGACATTTAAGGGGCGTACCTTCACGATCAGATTGTTTTTTTGTATCATGTGCGCGTGCTCGTGTATTTTCTCTCCCCGGTACACAGAGAAGAAACTGGCTGTCCCCCCTCCCCTCCTCCCCTCACCTCACACACATGCACACACTCCCCTAGAGTGATCCGGACTACTGGGTACCTGCTCTTCAGCTTACACCTCAACGCCTGCTTTTACTACTTCGTCTCCGATATGGAGGGACTGGGCAGCACCCGTTGGGTGTACAATGGCAAGGGCTACAGGTTAGTGGCCAAGATAGGTTTGCCACCTCTGAAATACCAAAAACTGGGACCTATCAGGGAAAAATGAAAATCCCACTTGACCAGAACAGGAGAAAACTGCATGTGAGTTGATTGACCGGTGATGTATTATTAGACTACTGACACAAATCTGCACTTAAGAGTTTTGGTAGCACAGCTACCTCAAAATAAGCACAATCGTTGGAAAAATACCAAGACAGGTGGCAACCCTATGGTCGAGTCCTGACTGCTTGTTAAAAGAGTCATCGCAGGTCAACACGCTTTACAAAAAGTAAACTACCAAAGAATAATCGTGACATATCATCTGAAAATAAATACGTGTTTTAGTTATTTTGCTATCTTTTCCCATGTATTTTCGACTTGTACCGCGTGCTGTTCGACACGATGTCCGACGTATAAATCCACGATGCTCGGAGCAACTTCAGCAACTGAAATTCAGTTCTGAACAACACGAGGCACAACCCAAAAACACATGAGGCAGCCATACAGCGCAACCGTGAATATCTCCACGTGATATTTTTGTTTTCCCTCTGATCATCCACGGATTTTTTTTTGGGGTGGATTTTTTCACAGAGGTTGCGTTTTGAGGCACACCTTTAAGTCTCTGCAGTTTGACAGTGTTTTATTTGTGCCACAGGAGAGCACCTCCTCTGTACACGTGACAATCCAGGCGACATTGGCTGCCAAAAGGCTGGCGCGCAGTGCAGGCGCGGGGTGATCGTGCGAGTGTGTGACGCTGTGGTGTGCGTCCGCCTACCGCAGCTACCTGCGATGCTTTTTTTACGCGGAGAGGTCGCTGATGGTGATTGGGGACCTGCCCCACCCTACCAACGAACTCGAGTGGATCTTGCAGATGGTCAATTACTTTATTGGAGCCTTCATCCTGTCCTCCCTCCTGGGACAGGTACTCTCTTTGTTACCTTATCTTTTTCTTCAAGCTTTTATTTATTTATTTTTGGCTTCAAAGAAGGTGTCGCACAAGACACAAAACAAGCTCTTATCTTGTAGACACGTTGCCTGGGCTGTGTGTCACAGACTATTCTGCGTGAGTTTTAAGCCATGTAAACTTTGAAAATGCAATGAATGTCACAGTCTGGTGCACTCTAGTCATGTTACTGCAGTGATGATGGCAGAGTTCTCTGGATCAGACATTTTAAAGATTTTTTGTATGTAAACAAAACTTAAAATGCATGTTGGACAGCCTGGGACACACAGCCCAGCTACATACACACAAAATAAGAGGTATTGGTTCTATGCATTGCACTGCTCTTCTTTGGTTCTTTCGGTAAAGTCACGTAGAATGATAATAAAATAATAAATTGATAAAATAAAATAACACTGCTCTATTCGTGGATTTGTACTTGTAATGTTTATTAAACTTTTTATTTGAATTCTGATTCAAATATTTTAATTTAATCAAAGAACACTTGGACGTATTTTTCTGGTTCAAATTCTATTCATATGCTTTTTTGATGAAAGACTAATTTTTGTGGACTTTTTCTAAAAAGCATGATGCTTTGATCTTGCCATTTTCTTCCTTTTTCCACCTCAGACGAGTATACAAATAGACTCAATAAATGCTGTTTTAAATAAGTGCATATTACCTGCTATAGATCACAGACAAGGATAGTGAAAAAAACGTAACAGAAGTTTAAATGTTGCAGAGAAGCATAAGGAGATGCACGCTCGGAATTACATTGGGAGACAGAAAATGGAAAACACATGGATCAGATTCCAGAAATAAACTCAAAGTCGGGAAATAATGTTAACTTAAGAAAAGTAAGTAGGCTTAGGCAGGGCTGGATGTAGGTGTATTTCTCTCCCCGGCACACAGAGAAGAAACTGGTTGTCCCTCCTCCCCTCCTCTCCTCACCTCACACATGCACACACTCCCCAATCCATGACATACATTATTTGAGTTTGGTCCTTCGGAAGTTTTGGGCCCTGAACGAATGTCTCGTTCGCCCCTCCTTTAAATGCAGCCCTAGACCTGGACAGGACACGTCGTTAAAAGAGAATGATGACAAACGGTCGAGACCGAGGGTGATTTGCCAGCCAAAGGTACACGCCATGTGTGGTGCTGGCCACCTAAGAGATGGAGTGGTAATATCAGATAATTGTGCAGAAGTTATCAGAATATTTATTCATGCTGGAGGAATCCGATGAGCTATGAAGCTATTTTTGTACAGATAAGGGCGGCTCAGAACGTTACAACAACAGCAAACACTACAAACACACGATGATAGTGCAAGTCTAGGAAAGGTAAGCAAATTACGAAAGAATACAAATAGAACTAAACAATTTATTATTTTACCAGGTAAAGTCCACTGAGCTTTGTAGCTCTTTTTTAGAATCGACTGACCACAAATGACAGCTCAACGAAGTGGCTTATCATGTGGACATTTATAGCAGCCAAATACTCTAAACGCACGTTTCTAAATCTGGACGTAAAACCCGGAGGACCCAGTGAAAAATCCACGTGACCACGGGAAGAATATGGCAACTCCAAATATATAGACGTCGGGGTCTAAATCGAACCCACGATCTCCTGTATACCAGGCGACTTAATCCAGCAGAGCATATTCAATTGCTGCTGTTGATGATGATGATTGGTAATTTATAAACTCCAAAATTAGTTTTTTTCTTAAAAGTGCCAAAGTTAGCTTAATGCACAGTGAGTAATGGGCAAGAACGATTAACAGGAGGGTACAAAATTGATTGTTCATTCATTCATCACTGCGGTGGCCTAGTTACCATAATCAAGACGATTGATCTTTTAATCCCCGGGTAGAGTGACTTTATAACGTCACAACGAAAAGACAACTTACTGCAGCATATACTACATAGATGCAAAATCTCGACAAGGATGGAAAAACAGCGCACATTAGCTACCGTTTGTCAAGTTCGTGCACCTGAATCTAGACCAGCATTGTGAATTAATTTGGAAAACTCATGTCACGAACCAAACATATTTAATTGTAAATTCATACTCAAGCAGAATCCTGTTCAACTTTTCAAATGTAAGTACAAATATGTTTAACCTAATGGCCTATTGGTTTTGCAGACAGATATTAATCCAGCAGTTTAAACAAGCAAACTCTGGACCTTCTTTTACAGAGTTCATATATTGTATTTCATTAGCTTTTCTTTTTGCTCAGTCAAACAATATGACTTACTGCTATGTGTTCAATCATAACCCCGGTGAAATCATTTAATATTGTTATCTACAGAAGACTAACATTTCACACAGTTTATGGGGGTCAGGGCATGGGATTTGTTTTTGAGGAATTATTTTATTAGTTTTACCTTGAAAAACTGCTGGGGTAATTGGTGTAAGTGTAGGTCAGACCGAGATACTATTTTGTGAAAAGATTACATCTTCTTGCGATGCCATGACTGCTGCCGCTGACAGACAACCCGCTTGAGATACCATAACTTGACTCTTAAATACCAAGGTTCAAAGTTCAAGGTTCCTCATTGCTGCTCCCCCCGCCCCCGTGATAGTGGACTAAGAGACATTATCAGATTGTGAGCTGTCCTCAGAGGACGGCTTAAGCTTCACGTCCCTATGCCTGCTTGCGGATAGACCCGCATACAGTCTGCATTGGCTCTCGCTATGAACGCAGTTGTGGGCCACTTAGCTTCGACTGGGCAGCCCTCTCTAGCACTGTATAAACTCAGGACTACCCCATTAACACCATGACAGAATCACCATGAATCCGACATTGTTGTCAAATGTATCAAGCTAAGTAGCCTTAGTACTTGATAGAGTGACCACCAGGGCTTAGCAGGTGTTGTAGGTGCGGGGCTGGCTGTGAAATGGCCAGGATATAACAATGCTGAGTGTTGTATATAAGGTGGGTTAGTTTCACAGTGTAGTAGACACGGAGTTTCAAAGTACGTGACAATGTTGCGTTGTAGTTTTACCCAATTCGGTCATTTCCCGGTAATTTTCAAATGTAGCGACGTGACGTCGGCACACTTGGCCGACTCTGTTTCACGTAACATCGCAAGATCTATAAACGTCCACTGTGACACAGACGACACGTTTTTTGGGGGTTTATTCTTCGTAAATACACCCGCAGTGTTGGCCACGTCCGCCGCTGGAATCTCTGCGGACAAGCGGGAAAACGTACAATCACTCAGCCAACACATGGCAAGGGAAATCTGGGTTTAAACGTGGAACAGCCAGTGGGATAAGGGCGACGCAATCTCTTTAAGGGGCCGCGTTGACTGCATCAATGGATTCCCTGTCCAGGTATATCCGCTGCTATTACTGGGCTGTGAAAACTCTCATCACCATCGGGGGCCTACCCGAGCCCAGCAACTTGATAGAGATCGTCTTCCAGTTGTCTAACTACTTCTTGGGCGTCTTTGTCGTCTCCATAATGATTGGACAGGTATCGGCTAAATCCCATGGCATTACGACTCAAATCGTGTACAGAATACGCAAGTCATCACATGCGCTGTTGTTGCCTAAATGTGTTCACCGTCACTTTTCCAAACACTGCAAAGCATCGCCATGGCAAACTTACACCAGCCTTTGCATTATTAACTCTGCTCACTGCACGTATGCGATACACTGAACCACAAATAGTCACTATTATTATTGCGAAACTATAAGAAAACTCTCAGACAACTTACATCACTGCCGTAATTTTGTTTGGTCGAATGTGATGACTTCTGCAGGAAACGTACACGTTAAATTTGCCGATGTAATGCCATGCAGCAATACCCATTTTTTTCCTTCATTCTTTTCCATATGTATGTATGTATGTTGAACTTCTTTTGCACCATACGTAGCAATCCGTGCTAATCGGAGTCCGCTGTTGAAATATATTAGGCAGAAAAAATGTTTCGACTTAAGCACTAAGCGTACAAATTGTTTTACCTTGCATTGCGTGCCATGGAACTGCGCGACGTTGGACTTAAAGTAACAACTGTGTACTGTGTTAATGAACTGCGAGACAGGCGTAGTGGTTATTCCATTGATTTATTCTTTCACATGTTTGTGCATAGCCTTTACTTTCTCTTCGCCATATTATCCCCCACGTTTGTATAGTCAACTGCATAATCGTCTCCTGTGTGTAGTGTGCCTTTGCCTTCGACAACCCCCTTCATGACTAAACCCGTGAAAACTAAAGCTTATTCGCCATTTATAGTTGTGCCTAGAAGAGAAGCGGAAAATGCAGTTATACATACACTTTGTGTTGTTTGAAAATTTCAATATAATGATAATTTGATACGTATATAGTCTTGCCATGAATACGGACTAATTTCTTACAAAATTGATCCTTGCTAATAATCATTGGGCAGTTCATCTGCACTGGGTCAAGAAAATCTGACTGCTGATGACATATTGAATGTAAAAACTAGTTCAGAATTTGCTTTTGTTGAAAAAAATGCTGCAAATATGCATTTCCAGAAGGCCGTGCCGCTGATGGGTTGTGTAGAAAATTACTTGTATTTCTCACGTGGAAATAGACATAAATCGGAGGCATTATTTAGCGTGTTTCACGGCAGGTAAAATGCTCTCTGCACGCACAGTTCACCGTTCCTTAATCTCATCCCATGAGAACGCTCACCCAGAAGCAGGCTTTGCGTGAATGCCATGCTGCTGTCCCAGCGCGCTGTCGCCGCATTGTGAGCAGTCGGCGGGTGGCCTGTGACGCAGATGGGCGACGTGATCGGCGCCGCAACAGCGGGGCAGAATTACTACCGCACGTGCATGGACAACACGCTGAGCTACATGAACATGTACCACATCTCGCGCGCCGTGCAGAACCGCGTACGCATGTGGTACGAGTACACCTGGGCCTCCCAGGGCATGCTGGGTAAGTCACCGCGCACCACCATGTATTTATCTATTGATTTATCTGTTTGATTTATTATATCCAGAATTCTTCTTTGGTTCTTTCGGTAAAGTCACGTAGAATGAGAATAAAATAATAAATTGATAAAATAAAATAACACAATAATATTCTCACGACGTTTCGGCCACAACACAAGCGGCCTTCATCAGGTGAAGGGGGCGAGACTGTCTGGTAGGACAGCGCTGGAGTGAGAGAGCCACGTTCAGATCACGGCTTTTAAGCTGTGTGAGAGGAACAAAGAGCCTTGACACAGGAATTAGCATAAAATTTAGCATTGAAATGGCTGAATGATTAGCTTGTGACTGGTCACAGAAATAGCTATGTTAAAAGTTAAAGCATACACATCCGCAGAGGCACCCATTGTTAAAAGGAATTAGCATAGAATTTAGCATTGAAATAGCTAAGTTAAATCGAAATATATCCAGAATTGTTTGTATTGTTCACTTTAAAGCAATTCCATTTAAAGCAGTGTTTTTCATATGAAAGAGAACTGGACTGTTGAGGAAAGCTAAAAAAAACAACTCAATGTCCCATACAGTAAAGTTCATGATCCACCCACCCATGCTAGATTACAGGGGCCCACCTGGCATCAATGCTCAACATCCGCAGATACCTCAACAAATTTTTGTCACAGAAAGAGCAGTACATTGGTTTCTGAGGTCCCCAAAAGCCACTAAAATACGGCCACTTACGCACGTGGCCTGAGGTGTTTAAAGATTATTGTGGCTCATTTACATGTAAAGCAATTTTCAGAATTTTCCCAGCAAGAGATCGTGTTTCCAGACCTGTTCATAGAATCCAACACTCTTCATTAGTTGGATTCATTTTCAGAATTTTCTGCATTTAAATTAATCAAGTGAAATTGTGACTTGATATATCAAACTGCAGCAGAGGCAGTGGCGGCAAACATCCATTACTCTGCTGTACCGTGCTCCAACATCTATACTCCCTGTATTCACAACCTCCAACGACCAGCGTGGTGAAGTATGGTAAAATAACCAACACAACCCGCATGGCGTGGGTAGGACCTCATTCAGCAGTGGATTGACAAAAGGGGCTGTACACATACGTATAATATTAAAATAATAGCGCCACAGACAACTCGTGACCTCTACTCCAGGTTATTCACGATGTCTTAAGAGATTTTTGGAAGGCAATACAAGTACATTCTTACCTGAGTGGACAAGGTTGGAGCAGCAATCGCCACACTCAGTCGCCTTCTGCCTTTTCTTTGAACTCATTTCACGCCAAGCCGACCTCGGCTGAGCCCTCAGCTGCACAGAACAATTGAAATGAAGTGTAGTTGTAAATTTGGAGGTCGACAGCAAAAATGGAAGCCAAATGACCGTGATAAAAATGTATTGCACTGATGACCAATCCGCTCTTGACATTACGTACGGGGAAAAAAGGCATGCGAAACTAATTCTAATTGGCATGCATTTCCACTAATTAAATACCAGCATTTATGTTAAGCCACTCTTGCAGCCTTGTATGGAGAAACATGTGAGTACTTGTATTATGCCCATTATTCCCACCCACCCTATACATCTGCCCATTTCCTCTCCTCTCCCCGCCACCGTGTTTACCAATCAACAGATGCATGAAAGGTATTTCAACCAAATGTATCGTTGAATGTATATGGGCAAACGTGGAAGCATGGACAAAGGCCCGCGTACTGGGGCTTGAACACCCAAGGTCTCCGGGCGTGTATCATTTACGCTCACTGGCCCACGTGATTAAACGTAAGGGACATGCTCAGAGTGGGTGAAGGAGGGGCAATTGCTTCCCCCTGGACCGACCGACCCCCAACTAGTGAACATTTTACGTGAAGCGTTTATCATTGCTGGGGGGAAAAATAGATTGTGTCTCCCCCTCACATGGTATCTCCCGCCCCCCCCCCCCCCCCCCATGGATGCACTAAACAGCTTTATCTTGGGCACACAATGTATGAAATGGTCTATGGGCATCAATTGCCAGGACTTCGGCAGCAAAATTTTCCCGCTTTCAGCGAGTCCTAACGTGGCTTAAAGCTTCCATGACAGCAGGAATTCATAATCGTTGGGTCTTTCGGTAAATTCACGTAGATAGAAAAACTAATAACAATAAAAAAATGAAGTGAATACAAAAAAATAATACCAATAAAATGTATTGACTTTATTTTAATTTATTCTTTTTATTATTTTATTGTTATTCTTTAATTCTATCCACGTGACTTTACCAAAAGAGCCAAAGAATATGAGTCCTAACGTCCCAATGGGGAGGATTGATTGGTGCTCATTACATGGCCATACATTTGAGGAGCTCTACTCACAACAACGACAGCAACAACGTAACGGATGGTGCACTGGTGTGCAGACGAGTCCGAGCTCCTCGAAAAACTGCCCATCAAGATGAGGCTGGAGATCGCCATCGACGTCAACTACACCATTGTCAACAAGGTGGCCCTCTTCAAGGTGATTCACCCGCACTGCCTTCTTACAATTGTCAGCGTCTCCCCACAGGACTTCCCACATTTCCACATCACACTTCGCGCTAATGCAGTCCCCGAGGTGTGTCGATACGGAATCGTGCACCCGTGGTTACCATTCTTAACCCCGTGCGAGCTGTCCTCGAACGCCTCGATGCAATGCGCAGCACTTTCGTTGCAGGTACACATTCTGGAGAATACAGCGAGGGGAAAAAAGTATTTGACCCCCTGCTGATTGTGTACGTTTGCCCACTGACAAATAAATGATCAGTCTATAATTTTAATGGCAGGTTTATTTGAACAGTGAGAGACAGAATAACAACAACAAAATCCAGAAAAACGCATGTCAAAAATGTTATGAATTGATTTGCATTTTAATGAGGGAAATAAGTATTTGACCCCTCTGCAAAACATGACTTAGTACTTGGTGGCAAAACCCTTGTTGGCAATCACAGAGGTTAGACGTTTCTTGTAGTTGGCCACCAGGTTTGCACACATCTCAGGAGGGATTTTGTCACACTCCTCTTTGCAGATCTTCTCCAAGTCATTAAGTTTTCGAGGCTGACGTTTGGCAACTCGAACCTTCAGCTCCCTCCACATATTTTCTATGGAATTAAGGTCTGGAGACTGGCTAGGCCACTCCAGGACCTTAATGTGCTTCTTCTTGAGCCACTCCTTTGTTGCCTTGGCCGTGTGTTTTGGGTCATTGTCATGTTGGAATACCCATCCACGACCCATTTTCAATGCCCTGGCTGAGGGAAGGAGGTTCTAACCCAAGATTGACGGTACATGGCCACGTCCATCGTCCCTTTGATGCGGTGAAGTTGTCCTGTCCCCTTAGCAGAAAAACACCCCCAAAGCATAATGTTTCCACCTCCATGTTTGACGGTGGGGATGGTGTTCTTGGGGTCATAGGCAGCATTCCTCCTCCTCCAAACACGGCGAGTTGAGTTGATGCCAAAGAGCTCCATTTTGGTCTCATCTAACCACAACACTTTCACCCAGTTGTCCTCTAAATCATTCAGATGTTCATTGGCAAACTTCAGATGGGCATGTATATGTGCGTTCTTGAGCAGGGGGACCTTGCGGGCGCTGCAGGATTGCAGTCCTTCACGGCTTAGTGTGTTACCAATTGTGTTCTTGGTGACTATGGTCCCAGCTGCCTTGAGCTCATTGACAAGATCCTCCCGTGTCGTTCTGAGCTGATTCCTCACCGTTCTCATGATCATTGCAACTCCACGAGGTGAGATCTTGCATGGAGCCCCAGGCCGAGGGAGATTGACAGTTATTTTGTGTTTCTTCCATTTGCGAATAATCGCACCAACTGTTGTCACCTTCTCACCAAGCTGCTTGGCAATGGTCTTGTAGCCCATTCCAGCCTTGTGTAGGTCTACAATCTTGTCCCTGACATCCTTGGAGAGCTCTTTGGTCTTGGCCATGGTGTAGAGTTTGGAATCTGATTGATTGAGTGATTGCTTCTGTGGACAGGTGTATTTTATACAGGTAACAAGCTGAGATGAGGAGCACTCCCTTTAAGAGTGTGCTCCTAAACTCAGTTCGTTACTTGTATAAAAGACACCTGGGAGCCAGAATTCTTTCTGATTGAGAGGGGGTCAAATACTTATTTCCCTCATTAAAATGCAAATCAATTTATAACATTTTTGACATGCGTTTTTCTGGATTTTTTTGTTGTTATTCTGTCTCTCACTGTTCAAATAAACCTACCATTAAAATTATAGACTGATCATTTCTTTGTCAGTGGGCAAACGTCCAAAATCAGCAGGGGATCAAATACTTTTCCCCTCATTGTAAGCACAGCAGGTCGCATTCTAAGCTTTCACACAATTGTACATGCATTTAGTTTTACAGTGTGCTGCATCCCGCATTATAGCAACAATGCGCCGTTGATATTCAAGACAAGTGAAAGTAGATTGCTGTGAGGTTAAAAGCGTGGTGTGAAATGAAGCACACGCCGCAACCGTGGCCTGTGAGCTACCCGGTGAGCGCATCCCTTGTACAATCACTATGTATACACACCTGTGCTTGTGAGTGCGTGCGTGACACACGCATTCACAAGCACCGATTGCCTGCTGTCCCCAGGGCTGTGACCGGCAGATGATATATGACATGCTGCTCAGGCTTAAGTCTGTCGTCTACTTGCCTGGAGATTTTGTCTGCAAAAAGGTACGGCATTTGTCTTTGTTTTTTTTTATATATATATATCAGTATCTACTTGGTATCCGATATATTTCATGTTTGCAGTGGTCAAGCTGCATCGACAAGAACAGAAGTTGAACGTGGTTAACTTTGGTGGAGCTGCTCACTAACAGTATTTACCAAACACGTAGCAAAACGTTGGACTCGTCATATTCATCATCAGCCATGATCATTCTATTGCTGGATGAAGGCTGGATGAAGGCCTCCTCAACGCCGTTGCCATCGTTTTATTGTCCTTCGCCCGCACCTCTGATTAGTACGGTTGGCTATGTATGGTGCAAAAGAAGTTCAATATGCATACATCTTTCAGTCTTGTGATGCAACAATCCACCGAGCACTTGCACACGTGATGATGCTATCACTCAATCTCTGGATAGTGAACAACCTCTCAGCTGCGTTCTCTCCTTTCCCTGTGACTCCATCAATTGTTTTGACCTCCGGCCATCGTCCCTTCAAGTGAAACATCCTGTTGAAGTCCGCTTAATTTTCTTAAATGTTTTTTTTACAGTAAATGCGATGTCTATTAGTTGCATGTGTCCTCTGTACATTCCTGTTTGTGTCTGTCATTGTAATTCCAGACATGCATCTCGCTGTGCTACTTTGTATATTTTTCAGCTTTTGTTCCATTCTCTTTGTCACTCTGTGTTCCCAATACGTACGTTTATAGACATGTGCCTGGGTGTGCATGTGATTGTGTGTCATCCACGTGTGTGAATGCAATGCAGTGGTTAGTGCACTGTGCTATAAACCCAGTGAACTGAGTTGGGTGACGAATATCTGAACCGGTCCTGGACCTCCCCTCGCAATTAGAAATTAGTACATGGTGCAGTGTGTAAACATTTACACTGGGGAAACAAAGGCGGCCGGGAGTGGTGTTGGCTACCATTCTGGCTTTCATAGGTGCTCGCCAACAGAACTTGCCCCAACAGTTTGTTAAGGCTAAGGGGGGGTGGGGGAGATCTCTATCTTTATCTATGCATGTGAATGTATGTGCACAGGGCGAGCTTGGGAGAGAGATGTACATCATCAAGGCTGGAGAGGTGCAGGTGGTTGGAGGCCCTGATAACAAGATCGTGTTCGTCACACTACGAACCGGCTCCGTGTTCGGAGAAATCAGGTAAAAAATTGTAAGAGGATTTCTAAAGCCACTTAAGGGTTCCACTAAGTCATTAATCCTTACGTGGCCCAATGCTCTAAAAAAAAACTATACAGCAAAGGCACGTTAATTTGTGCTGTTCCAGGTCTGTGACTCTGAATTTTTTTTTACACCAGGCTCACCACATCCAGTATACCACTAGCTATGGCAATGGTTACTTGTCATGTGCCTAATCCAGTCGACCAGTAGACCAGTAAATATTCAGAGAGAAATTAAGCCCTGGAGCATTTTTTTATTTTAATTTCAATGTACACTTTTTTTGGTTAAACGCAAAATTGAAGACATAACATATTTGGCTTATCTGCCTAAGGTAAAATTAAAGAATTGGATATTTGTGCACGACTTGCCAACACAAACGTAATGGAAACCTAATGTTTCCAGGGTAATAATGCTAAAACCTATTTGTGAATATTTACCTTTGATCTCAGTCTCAAATTGCAGTTTCCTCTATACAAATGATAAAACTGTACTATAATGTGACGTAAAGAAAAACTTAGCATTTCTATATATGACCGAGTGAAAATTATTTTAAGCATCACCAAATGTGACTGCACCATGAGTATTCAAGATAACCAGCCCATGAATAAAACGCGTGAGCGATGTCGGACATACGCAACTATTTTGTCTTTATTATTGGGCAACACAAACATTTTCTCCGCGTTTTTAAACACTGTACAGTCGAACCAGCGTGACTGTGAGGGTTGAGGATGCATATCTGGGTTCACACACTCTGTCTCCCTCTTGAACTGCTATAATCACGCTTCGTGGGGCTTTGCAGCCTTCTGGCGGTTGGAGGTGGGAACCGCCGCACGGCGAACGTGATGGCGCACGGATTCGCAAACCTCTTCATCCTGGATAAGAGAGACTTAAATGAAATCTTACGCATCTACCCTGAGTCGGAGAAGCTGCTTCGCAAGAAAGCCAAGTATGTGGGCGGTCATCCGAGGTTGCCCTACACACTCACAGTTTTACTGCCGTCTGTTCTACGCTTAAGAGTTGTGCTGGCCAGGTTAAACTGATGTGTCTACGTTTAAAGTGCAGCACTCGTCGAATTACACTGCAGGGATCATGTTCATAATAGTTGAAGACAATGACTTCAGTGGTTATAATGATCAGAATACCGTATGTGTTTGCCTAAAATTATGATTAACAACCAAGTTGACAGTAATGAAAAATAGAATTACATTTTAGATCAATTAGTCATTATTTTTAGATTTGTTGTAATTTATGTCTAACCTAAACCTCACTAAATATATAATAGAGCTCCTCTTATCCGCGACGATGTGGGGTCAAACATCGTGGACCCAATAGTAAACTGTGTTATCCATTAATTTACTCCACTTATCCACGGAAAATATTCATTATTAATTGCGAATAATAAAGAGCATAGTGCTGTTCATCATAATAATACTGATCGCGAAAGCCTACGTGTTAAACTGAGCATAGTGCTGCCGATAATGGGAGTTTTCACTGACCCTACAGCTTTCGCAGGTGTTTTGAATGAGAGAGGAGTTCTACTGCATCATGTGAATCTTCTTCTTTCGTATGGTAGGACAGAATGTGATTGCGTGCATGTGTCTGTGTGTGTCTCAGGAAGCTGCTGTTAAAAGACAACAAGAAAAATACTGAGGGTGTACCCGTGGCCCGGGGTTTTGCAAGCATCTTCCCAGAGAAGCCAGCAACACCAAAATTGCTGCGTCTGATTGCATTGGTTTCCCGAAAAGCAGCAAAGGACAAAGAAAAGTAGCCAGAATCTAGCCTCCAAAATTTCCATAATATTTTTTACCCTTTCCAACTGAAGTTGAAAGCATTAATTCATTAGTTACGTCCGTCCGTCCGTCCCTATGTCTGTAACGTGAGGTCGCGATCACTCCTGTTCAGATTATCCATTATAAATAAAATGTTATCATTGAGTTGTGTTGATACTAGGGGATAGCCATAGAGAATACTGGGCATATTGGTCAAACGGTTGTCCAACACTTGACAATAATCACAAAAAAATTACAAAATGCATAGGCCTTTTCACATGGTGATAACGTCATATGCCACCCACATATATTATGATAAGGAATGTTTCTGATACATTTTTCATAGCCAGTTGTACGCATTTATTTAAACAAAAATACTTCTGAGGATAAACTTGTTGGTAAGTATGAAAGAGTTCAAGTGGGCGCATGATTTTTCTTGTTATTATAAGCATAGAAATGCCTATAATTGTTCCCTGTTTATAACTTGCATTGCAAGACCTAATATTAAGCGCTGTTATTACAGTATTGCTAATGAATGCAGTCATTTTAAGCGTACAGTATACCTAATTATTTTTGCTTCTTTGCTGTAATGTTTCAATTTGTCATTTGGTGATCTAGGCCACTCGTGCAAATCCAACTCTCGATCCTGGTTTCTTGAGTTTTCACCTGGTCTAATAAATAACTCTGACTTGACTTCTACCTGACATTAATAGCAAAGGCCACTTGATCTTCCTAAACATGTATTGACAAAGGAAGCACATTTTCAAAGTCTATGAGAATCTACACCCATGACTTAAAATTCCAGTCATTTGTGTGAGCTCAAATCCCCCTTTGCAACGTAAAAGTAGCCCTTCATCTCTCTTTATCTCTCTGTGGTTGATAGATTGAGCTCACTTTGAGAGAAGTTAACAGTGGTGTATAGCACACACCTGTCGTCCACAACTTTCAAAGGAAATAGTTGGTGGGCTGCAAGGTGGCCCAGAGGTTAAAATATTACACATGTGTTTATAACTTCACTTTCCAGAGCATTGCCTGGTATGTGATGGTTTTCTCCATGTATATTTCCAAAGCACATTATTATCATCGTGATCAGGCGTGAACCCCTCGGGACGTGGCGGCCTGCACGAGACGCCGCCGGGTGACCCGACCTGGCGCTGGCCGCCATGCTGAGTTGCAGGCCAAGGCCATGGAGTTGAAAATCAATCGGAGTCGTGTGTGGCCACGTCAGCCGTGGCGTCATAACTAATCCCGTGGGTGGGCTGTCGATGATCGCTCGCAGGGCTCTGGTGTGATCTGCTGAGGCATCCGCCTGGGCAACTTATTCAGAAGAACCAAAGTCTTCTGTCTATTTGTCAGACACTGATGGGGTACCCTGTGGTGATGTGCTCGCTCATGTGAAGGATCCTTCACAAGGCTGATCGAAGGCATCCATTTTTCCGGCTTAGTGACGCTGTCGCTGACCGCATCTCTGAGCCATATAGGAGTAGTACGAGAAGGTTGTACAGCATTATATAGGCGGATCTTAGTTACTGTGTCAATGCCTGAGTGCCAGGTGCAAAACATGAATGGAATTATCCAAACATCCCAATGCAGAACACTCCTTAGAAAATATGGAGTTCCAGTAGGGCTTTGCTGGAAAAATAAAGGTCATTAAATTAGTGTAGATGTTGGGATGCTGCCTGGGGAAATGGTTGCCACACTGGACTTGCATTCCAGAGGATGCACGTTCGATCACCCGGTGTGGCAGCTAACAATGACGAAAGTTTATTAAATCCCCCCCACCTCTGTCCACCCAGCAATATAAATAGGTTCACCAGAGTCGATTGGCCGGTCGTGTATGTGAGGGGTAAGCGTGGGTTCTCACAACTTTTCCAAAATTTCTGGCCAGCAGAGAAGAGGAAATCAAAATACCTTCCATCAGGGTTCTCAAAGCTACGTCTTGTGGAGGCCCTTCCACTAGCAGTGACATTAGCAGGAATTTGTAAGGCTGCACCTTTGCCATTTATAATGTTTACACTATTGGTTGTCCTGTGGAGTGGCTGTCTTAGCTCTAGGAATGTGAAATTTTTCCCATGGCTCAAAATCATGGCAATTAGCGGCACCCCATGTTCAGGTGAGGGTTATACACATTTGGTTTGTAACTTTTTGTGAATGCCTCCGGACGACAATGAATCATTTAGATGAATACAGTATTTGTTTTATTTTATGTTTGCGACATTGCATACCTTTAACATTAATGTCTAACGGGAATTAATTTCAATATTTATCTTTATGTTAATAATTAATTGTCTTTAATTGTAATCATATATAGCAGAATATTTAGGCAATAAGCCTATGAGTACACTGTACATATCCTGGAATGCACCCGATCTCGTCGGATCACCATAATTCATCGTGTATCTTGCATGAAAGCGTGACGACCATGCACAACAGTGTTACAGGCTGTGACGCTACTTTTTGGGCAGATGGCAGTGTAGCAAAATTCATTGTAAAACTGTACTTCTATGCTCCCAAATCTGAGGTCACCACCTTCACAAACCTGGCCAGGATAGTGGTGAAATATGGCCAAATAACCCCCACGTCCCACGCCACAGTGTGGAGAGGCCCTCATCCAGCAGTGGATTGACAAAAGGGTTGTACATGTAAATGTGAGATGTTCCATGTAACGTTTTTGAACATTTATTATTTTTTCTTATATTTTTGTGTCTCTCTGACATTAAAAAAGAACAGTATAGTATGCATTTTTGGCAATTGTGCTGACACACATCTTGTAAAAGAGATATGCAATCAGAAAATGTGAGTTTCATTGATTTATTATTATACAATCCCAGAAGTTCTGAAAAAAGAAAACTAAACATGCATTTATATTCTTGGTTCTTTCGGTAAAGTCACGTAGAAGGGAAACAATAAAATAATAAAAATATAAAAGGTAATTAAATTAGTATTTTTTTTTTATTGTTTCCCTTCTACGTGACTTTACCGAAAGAACCAAGAATATGAATCCCTGCAGTCACGAAAGCTTGAACTCAAAATTTAAACATGCATTTGTGAAAGCTTTATTTATATGGCGATAGATGGTCCCTGTGGTTAGTCCGCCTTTCACCAAATCACCCGCAATGCACCCCATCTCATCATATCTCTGAAGCTCGTCAGGGTTGAGCGTAGATAGTGCTTGGGTGAATGGATAGTGCTTATAACATTGGTGACGTTGCACGGCCAGGCTATCGTGGGGAAAAGGCCTGGGCGGGCTGCAAGTCAGTAGCGGGCATTAGAGGGCAGACGGGAGGACGTCGTCCATCGACATCATCAATCACGGGATGAAACGGAAGAGTTTTAAAAACCCATTCCCATCAATTTTCGTGTTCCACTTACTGTGTGGTGCCGCCACAGCGGAGCCGCTCCGTTGGGGCCGTGCCCACCGCCATGACACCGCCACCGGGGAGTGACGGCACCGACACGGCGCGCCCCTCGCCGCCCCCCCCACCCCCCCCCCCCCCCCCCCACGAATGCACGCACACCCCACGTAGAGCCGGGAGGGAAGGTCACCTGGCCGACAGGTTTTTATCCAGAAGCCCCTAATTGGATCAAGCTTCATGGTTTCCTGTGGCCGGGAAATTTGGCGATCTACCCCCGAGGCTGACGTGCACCGCAGCGCCGTGACCTGACATTAAAGTTACGTGGTCACGGCGGAGGCCGTTGAGCCACCGCGAGTGAAAACCGTACACACACAAACACGAGTCAGTGGGCCGATAGCGGGAAGAACGGAGAGCGGACGTCCGAGAAACCACCACGGTGACGTCACCAGAGCATGATCAAAGTACCGGAGAAGGCGGGAAAATCCGGGCTTCCGATTGGGCAGGAGGCCAAGGGGCGTACGGAACTGAATGCCTTTTCTTATAGATAGGATTAGGAACTGAATGCCTTTTGTTATAGGTGAGATTACGGATCCAAATAACAACGGGACAGGAACATTCCGACATCTGAATGGACAGGGCGGCACGAGTGCGGATGCAACTGAATACCTTTTGTTATAGGTGAGATTACGGATCCCAAATGTCAAAGGGACAGAAATATCTCAGCCTCCGATTGGACAGAGGGGCACGAGCGCAGGAACAACTGAATGCCTTTTGTTATCGGTTGGATTAGGGATCCGAATGTCAAAGGGACAGAAATATCTCAGCCTCCGATTGGACAAAAGGGCACGGGCGAGCAAGTGCAGGGTCCGCGGAATGCCTTTTGTGATAGGTAGGATAAAAGGCAGGTGATTGAGACAGTAAAGGCAGAGTTCTTCCAGTCATCGAAGTCCACGGAGCCTTGGTGCCGGCCGCTCGGATCGTCCGTGTGACGAGTTTCAGCACAGCCAGGCACGATCTTTTACGGAGACGACCCACAGCGTCGCCCTTCTACAAACTTCCAGCGCATCAGAGAGGACGTAAGCGTAAGTAAGAGAGAGAGGTGAGTGTGGGGCTATTTAATCGAGGGTAGAAAATGGAGCGATAGGCAGGATAAATTGAGCCTAGGATTCCCGAAGGATAGGCTAGGAGGGCCTGCTGACTCACACAGACACACGTAGTTTAGCGGGATATTTGCGGGGAATAAAACCGCTAATAGAGGATAAAACTGTGTCGTGGTCGCTGTGAGTATGAAGAGGGAGGCGGAGTGTTTTGTCCTTGCGAGCATACGCGGCTATTTGCGGCGAATAAGAGAGTGTAGCGTCTGGTGATCGCGTGCACGCACGGTTGTTTACAACGAGGCGGAGTGCTTAGCGTGCGCGTGCCTATGCGGCTGTTTACGGGAGTGTCTTGCGGTCGCGTGCATGCGCGGTTGTCTATAGTGAAGTGGAGAGCTAAACGCCTGGTGTGCGTGTACACGCGCGGCTGTTTAAACGGCCCTTTAAATCGGAGCGGAGTGACTCCCTCCAATCAGCAGCGCACGCAAGGCAGACACCCCTGCCCCCTCACCCCCGACCCCAACTCCCTCGCGTGTGATTGGTGTACGGGGCTCGGCAGGTAGCAGCGTCGGGTTTGTTATTGCCGGGGCTCGTAGGACGCGTGTGAGAGCGGATCCCGGGGCTAAACGCCGGCTGCGGAGTCACGCGTCGGCGCGCTATACCCATCGGTGTCCGTGCGGGACGGAGTCTTGCTTCGCGAGCGCGCTTACCGCAGCACGCCGCCGATCTCGCGTAGCGCGCCGTAAGCACAAAGCGTACGAGCCACTAGTTGAGCCATGCCTACGCGGTCGGTAGCAAAGTCAGGGGCCCCGGGGGGTGAGGAGGCGGAGGTCGCTAACCCGAACCCCACAGAACAACCGGGGGGTAGTGGTATGAATGGAACGGGGGAGTCGGGGGCAAAGGCCCGGACAATTCGGTGATGGCGGGGGACGGTAGCCCCCACAACGGTTTCATCGTCCAACGCAACATTTTTGAATACATGAACTCGTGGAAATATATTTCTAGAAATATTTGTTAATAATTATACAAATATTTTCTTAAAATGTTGTGTTGGATGATGAAATCCATTGACAACTTTGCATGCACACAATTTATAACCTTGGCAGTAGCTCAATTGCAAATGTCATTAAACGCACGTGGCTTGAGTGAAGTGCACTGGGCCATGACTTTTGTAAAGTTACGTCATCACGTTGTTTAAGGTATGACGTCAGAGCTAAGGCCACGGCTAACACGCGCCGTCGGTGTGACGTAATGACGTAAACCGCGTTTACAGCCACGCCCTGTGTTTGCGTCATCACGTTGAGGTTAAGCCACGCCTTTACGGTGTCACCCTCACGATCGGCAGCAACAACGTCAAGACGTAGACCGCTTGCGTCATCACGTCGACGCTAAGTCACACAAACCTACGTGCGTCGCGTTCACAACCCCGCGGCGACGGCTGGGTGGAACGCAACGTCATTTCTGTCCAATCACAACGCACGTCGGGCATTCGCATGACGTCATCTCGCGGTACAAGTAGGACCCCCCCCACCCTACCCACACCTACCCACCACTCGCGTGCAGCGAGGCCGTTGCTCTCTCACCACCCACCCACCCCTCACGTTCCAGACGCGTCTGACCGCGTGTGCCCTCCTCCGTCTCGATCACCGCCGCGTCTCGCCCGCCCGCCCCGCCTCTCCCTCGGGCTCCCGTCTCCCTGAGCGTCCAGCCGTCACTGTCAGTCTCGCGCAGCGTGAAGCGACGAGCCAAGCCAACCCAAATGGCGGCGCTCCGCAAAGGATTCACGGCGTCGGCTCTGGGGCGACTGCCCCTGCTCAAGGTCGCCCCGGCCGCCGTCAGGGCGAGGTGAGCACCGGGATCCGCTCGCCCGCCGCGGTCGCGGTGAAACTCGTTGCGACGTCGACGAGTTTTTGGGCCAACCCCCCGCCCCCACCTCCCCCCCCCCCCCGTGATTTGCTCGTGTAACGATGTTACCGGGGGGCCCGTTGTCAATCCACTGCTGGATGGAGGGCCCTCCCGAGGCCTCAAGGTCGTGGCGGTTGTTTGACCACGCTTGGTCACGCTGCTCCCGCGCGGATCGGGCAATTTGTTAAGAGGCCAGGTCTGGTGCTTGGTGTCGTTAGCGTCGCGTGAAGGGTCACAGTGAGACGTACGGGACTGGTACCACCGTATTAATTCATGCACAGGGACCGCGATGCAGTACTGTGAATACGAACCATAACACTGTAAAGACAAGTGGATGTCACAATATCGTTCAATAACACACACACAAATTTTGATTTAAAGCTTTCGTGACTGCAGTAATTCATATTCTTAGTTCTTTCGGCAAGTCACGTTGAAGGGACTTTACTGAAAGAACTAAGAATATGAACACACACAATTTTTGTTCCTGGGTAGTAAGTGTTATTTCGTAATTGCTTACGCCTAAAATGTATAGAGAAAGGCTATTATTCCCCACAAACTTTACCTTTGTGACCAGGACAGTGATATTTTGAATGGAAAAACGGGCGAATTTGTGTCTTTTCGTTCACATAAAGTCAGAAAAAACAACATTAATTAAAATTAACATGTATTTATACTAAAGTAATACAAAAATTACCACGAAAGATTTAGAAGTGAATCGTTTTTGGAGATATACGATTGTACTGTAAATCACTTTCACGAATCAGCCCCCAAATGTAGTCTCCCATCATGTTCTCGTTATACTGCCCTTGGTAGCGGCGTTCAAAGTCCAGTATATCCTGGTGGAATTGCTCACCTTGCTCCTTCGAGTACGCTCCCATGTGCTCCTTGAATTTATCAAGATGAGCATCAAGGATATGGACTTTGAGGGACATCCTACAGCTCATTGTGCCGTAGTTCTTAACCAGTCTCAACCAGCTCCACATATTCTAGATTTTAAGCTTTCGTGACTGCAAGAATTCATACTCTTTGGCCTTTTTGGTAAAGTCACGTAGGTAAAATAAATGAAAACAACTAAATTAAATCACAAATTTACTTTTAATTTATTTTACCTACGCGACTTAACCGAAAAAAACAGTACAGCTCCACATAGTTTTCGACCTTGTGATTGCCCAGGAAGCCACGAACCACTGCGACAGAGCTGTCCCAAGCCACTTTCTCCTTACTAGTGAGCTTCTTGGGGAATTCATTGCACTCCAGGATCTTCTTTATCTGTGGTCCGACGAAGACACCGGCTTTGACCTTTGCCTCAGACAGCATAGGAAAGAAGTCTTGAAGGTACATGAAGGCTGCCAACTCCTTATCTGCAGCTCTGACACATTGTTTCATACGGCCCAATTTCATGTGCAGTGGTGGCATCAGCACCTTCCGGGGGTCCACCAGTGGCTCCCATTTGACATT